ACAATAACGTCGAATTCCGTCCACACTACCCCAATTCCGACCCGCAAAGGACGGTCTTATCGCTAATCCCCTCGTCAGAGGTGGTGTAAAGAAACCAGTTTAAAGGACCCTTTAAGTCGAAAGAAAGGGCTTCGTTGTGTGGACGTGTCCAGGCTTAATTCGGTTTAACGCTGCTAAAGTCGACCTAAACCCGTAGTGTAGACCAGGCCTTAGGTTGACACCTCCCCCCCCCCCCACGGAGTGTAGACCTAGCCTATTGCAGGGAACTTTCCTGGCTTCTGCACTACCCCAGGGGAATTGGCTAGCAAAAGGATCTGAGTCCCCACTCCTACTCCCTTTACCCAGAGGCCTGCCTGACCTGAGGGTCTCCCCTTCCACTCTCCTGTGTGGCAGAGTCCTCATGATGGTGACATGGCTGAGCCCAGGATTCCTGTGAGGCTGAACCCCCAGTCTCACCATCGTGGTCACTTAGGACAAGGGATAGGGTGTCCCCATTCTGGGGTAGTCTGTTCAAACCAGACGCTTCCCTGACCCACTGATAACTACATTAAGTTCAAACCAGATAGAATTTATTAAATACCAACTGTAAGAAAAATAAGGAAAAAATGGGAAAGGGTCAAAGAAAAAGGGAGCTGCTCTGTGACCACAGGGACACCACAAACAGCTGTCTATGGGACGTAAGGAAAGTTCACAGTCTGTTCCTCACACCCCCAGGCCTCCTGCCCAGGCACTGGCCGCACTGCAGTGATACAACAGGTCACACATTTGCTCTGGCTGTGGCCACACGCCCTCAGGCTCTAGGTGGCAGGAGCCTTTTCCCCAGCATCTGCCCTCCCATCAGATTCATGTCCCCCCTTTCTGAGTCCAGCCTTCAAGGCCCTTTGGTCTGGCAACGTCTCCCTATGCTCGGCCCTCTGCCCATGGACCCACCTTGCTCTTCCCAGCTGTTCATTGTGCTCAGGTGTCGTGTTACTTGTGGCACGGCCGGCGTCCACTCACCTGGCTCTGTAGCTCAGCCCTGGCTCACCAGCTCCGCCTCAGCACCGCTGCTCTGGCTCCAGCCCAGCCCTGACTCTTCTGGCTCAGTGCTGCTGCCCTGACCGCGGCCCAGCTCTGCCTTCTGGGCTCCTTCTCTGGCCCTTGTGTTTCTGGCTGCTGCTGCGCTGCCTCCAGCTCCGCTTGAGGTAGTTTTCCAGACGTCTACTGCATTTATAGCCCCAAACACTTCAAAACTAACCTATAAATAGCCCAATCTATGCCTTGAAACAAAGGGTTTTTTATTAACACATTGTCATATACATCAAGTAACAAATGAAAGCTTTTGTTAGATACCTAGTACAGGTATGATTTTTTTTTAAAAAGCTAGAAGCCGAGGCAGGAGTTTGTCCGCATTAGCAACAATGCTATGAGATGACAATCAAATTCAAAATAACTCCCCCAATACTGGTACTTGTATCTCGATGGAGGGTTGGCAGGTGTTTCAAACAAAAAACAGCGAATGATGGTGTTAAAAGGAGCCCCAAATGTACGTAGTGTAAAAACCACAATAACTTGACAATATTATTTATTTCTAATTGCATTCAATGATGGTAGTCAATGTCCATATTTTGAGTTGTATTAGTTTGTTACGGTTAGTCTCTAAAAGTCAACATTTCATGCTCTCTGTCTTCTTTGGAAGTGGAATGCTTCTGCCGCTGGTCAGACATATCAGCAGTGGCCAGTGCAATCATTTATTTCGTTGGTGCAAACTCTTCACAACAGATTTTTGTGGTTGCATGTACGCCCAAAGATGAAGAATGTTTTCTAAAAGTTCCTCTTGCATCTTGTTGCGCAGTTTTGTTTTTATTAAGTTCATCTGAGAAAACAGTCTTTCAGCTGCAGCATTGCTAAATGGTAGCAACAGCAATGAAAGAGCAAACAAGATAAGTTCACTAAAGTCTTTATCCCCAGAGGCATCCATGTGTTTGAGACCTTCAACGCCAAACTGCTCTACTCGGTTGTTCTGAGTATGAGTCCAGTGAACCATAGGCAAAACTCTCCCCTGCTGCTCCAACTGTCCAAAGTCTCCACAAAATAATGGCAAAAATGTGATGTCTGTCAATCTATGATGTGAAGGAATGAGTATTGGAAGCGATTCAATCACCTGAATGTTTGGTGGCAATCTCTGTTTAATCAGTTTCACAAACTGCAAGATGAACACTCGAAACCTTCTTTTGACATCTTCGATGATGGGAATTGTTAGTGTGTATTTTGAAAGTTCCAGCTGAAAGCGACTTCAAAATTGACTGCACAAAGTGGTAAGTTATTGGACTCCAAGCTGATGTCGTAGTTTAACACAGCAGTCTATTACCAGAGTCTTCAGAATCCCGAGCCGGGGCAACTTAACTATTTCACTCCAGGTCATGTCAGGAATAAATCAATGGGATCACAGCAATTCTGTCTGAATAAAGATTGCATGCAAGTAAGTATGCTCTTGTCTAACACTGCAGTTTATTAGATTTAAGCACATACAGACATAAGCAGTAGGTTTAGAACATCCCAGATATGTGCTGTGACAAAGTTTCTCCTCTATCTTGGTGGGTCCTGCGCTTATTGGTGGATTTTCTTGCCTCAGAGATTCACCATGTGGGTTGGGGAACAGGCCAGA